TATACACACATACATGTCTGTGGAATATTATGGACATATCCCTTTTCTTAGATGAAAATGTCTTTCATCTCGCAGGACAATTAAGATGTTAGGAAAGAATATGAGGGGGGGTAGGAGTAAGGAAAAGAAATGGCAGTAGGAGGATATTGAGGATGTAAATCAAGACAACAGCAAGGACAGAGCCTCTTGCTTCCCTCCGCGGGTACAGGTCCGGGCATGGTGTGGCACCCACCTGGGTTGAGGGGCTCCTGTCTGTGGGCAGCCCACAGCGTGCCTGTGGTGGCCTGGGCTCCACGGGGACTGTCCCTGCCTGGGAGACAAGCCATCCTCCCCTGAAGTGCAGGTGGGACCTGACACCCTCTCCCAAACTTACCACCTAGCAGCTGCTCCTGCTTCTGACCGTGCAGAGGGTCTCCCCTGGTGCTGGCGTGGGCATTCCTGGGCCAGCACAGCTCACTCGCCCTGCAGGAGGCCATCCCCGTATGGAGAAGGACAGGTTCTTCTCTCACGTGAATGAGATGATTTGACCTGAGATGAGATGACAAAGGACCTGGCTCAAGCCTCTGTCTTCTGCCCTCCACCATGAGCTGGAGGGGACTGCACTGAGGGAACCTCTTCTGTCTGGATCCAGTGGAAGGGAGGACAAGGAGCAACCAGCGAGACAGGATAGGGGCCTGTTCTTTAAGAAACCCAATTCCTTTCATTAAAACCACTGAGAAAAGCAGAAAGCAGAGACAATATGTGTGGTTTGCATCCAGTCATAGTTTCAGGAATGAAATACAATACGGTCCTTTCCTTGTGGTCCCATCATTCCTGGTATGACATAGGACAAGTCTGTAACTCTCTAAATATTGTCACAGTGACATTTACAGAGCATTGCACCTAAAGGCGATTAATCATAAACACCGTTTGTTCTCTAGTCTTGCCTTACAACATACCATGCTATTAGCATTAACTACATTATCTTCTGACCCTTCTTAGTACTGTAGCAGATACTGGTGTGAAATCTCTTACTCCAGTGGTTCTTTAGCAATATCTTACCAGCATTAATCATACTTTTTTCAGTCAGCCTCTACTTTGTAGTCAAAGATACATATACAGCAACTGCAGTTATTCCTGGTTGTGTGATAAGCCTAAAAGAGGAAAAGTTGCAAATGTAAAGATGGTAGTAACTATACAGCCAAACGTGTAAAGCACAGGATTCTCATTTGGAAGTGTAAAGTGGTAAAGATGTAATAAATGTGAAGAAGAAGGAGAAGAAGGAGAAGAAGGAGAAGAAGGAGAAGAAGAAGAAGAAGAAGAAGAAGAAGAAGAAGAAGAAGAAGAAGAAGAAGAAGAAGAAGAAGAAGAAGAAGAAGAAGAAGGAGAAGGAGAAGGAGAAGGAGAAGGAGAAGAAGAAGGAGAAGGAGAAGGAAGAAGAAATAATAATAATAAAATAAATAAATAATAATAATAATAATAATAATAATAATAATAATAATAATAATAATGATAATAATAATAACAGTAATGTTACATGAAATTATCTCTCTGACAGCCTGTCCCTGGCAAAATCTGCTGGGACCATCTTTTAAAATACTCAGAGAAAAATCAAAGTCCTTTTACAAGCTGCTAATGTGTAAAATCCTTGACCAGCTAGGCAAAGGAAGAGCACTGGACTCCAGGCTCAGGAGGACACTCAAAATCTGCAGCCTAGAGGACACTAATGATCATATTAAAATGGGAGATATGTAGGGAAAATGTTTCAGAGTTGCTTCGTTTTAAGGCTAATAATCAACGGCAGGTGGTTATGGAGTTTACCTGCCAAGAAATGTTCTGTAGATTTTTAACCTGATCTAAGTTTTATGCTCTGTTGTTCTCAAACTCTACCTGATAAGTAACCAAAGGACACAGATCCTCGGATGGCATGATTTGGTTTCCCATGTATGCGCTTCAAGGCCACTGCTGTCAGCCCACAGCAGTTCAAGCAGGGATACCTTGAAGGCTTTGGAGAAGTCCAATACACTTTGGAGGCTAAATCTCCTTCCATGTGACTGTAAACTTCTCTAGATGGGAGAAAAGTCCTTTTGTGCCAGCAAGTCTCACTGGAGAGGAGAAACAGGACAGCACTGAGCTGTCATTGCAACTGTCTCGGGCTATTTGGAACGCAACAGAGGTTAGGATGTCATATACAATGACTTCCACAAACATCCTGTTCTGGAGTGATTTTGTGGCATCAGGGAGTTTTTTTCAGCAATCTGATATGCCTAGAATTTGCCAGTCCATGTTTACTGTAGAAGTAGCAATGTCTTTAGCCACAGAAGAATTAAAGGAAACCAGCTATGAACATCAGATCTGTTGTAGTTCATCCAGATCTGAGCTGACACTGATGCCCGTGTGGCACTTTTTTTTTCTTCCAGAAATAGGCACAATCTTTATTTTTGTACACATTTGCATAATGCTTACTTCGGCTTTGGACATAAATATTTCACTGAAGTAGTATCAGCTCTAGCATCATCATCCTTCTTCTTTGTTTTGTTCTTCAGGGAGAGAGATGTGCTATCCCCAATATTGCACTGCATACATTCAGAAGATCCCCAAAATATTGCTTTCATTTTGAAGAATGCATTTCATCTTTGGAATCACTTTGGGGGGAACTACAGGTAAGGTGCATAGGTGTAGAAATGCTTCTGTGGACAGCACCAAATTATCTGATCTCATGATGGCCAGCATTGCCCTAAATTTCTTAGCCAGTAAAGTGATATTTCTTGGACTTCTCTCACCACACGCATCTCTTCTCTAGCAGGCAGCATAATACATTGACAGTTGTAGGTTGCTGCCTGCCATGTTCATTAAGTAATGAACAGTGTTCTTTAATCAAATATTAAAGAACTTGCTACTGTTTTCTTTTCCAGTGCTGTAATATACAATGAGATGCTAATAGGTTGCTGAACTACATCCAGCTCCTGCATGCCACCTTTGCATAGAGGTCTACCACAATACCCTCTCAGTGCAGACAAGTTCACTCGGTCGCCGAACACCACATTTTTTCTCATCTTTCTTGTTATTACGCTCCAGCTGTGTTTGGAGCAGAGACCTCTGACCGTGTGGCATCAGAGACGTGCTCCTGAGGAGCTCACAGCAACACAAGGTGCCGCTGAGGCTGCTGGCTACAAGAGCCACCAGCCACGAGAGGGAGGTAGTATTTAATAATACCAAGCACCAGCCACGTTAGCTGAGGATTTCGCTCTGACTGTGTAAGTTCCACTGACTATATACAATTATGTGTGGTTTAGTCAATTCCTTAATCGTCAACACGAACTGCTTGGGGAAATCCTCGGCTGTGCACTGGATCCTTCACTCTAAGTGGTTAAGCAATATATCTAAATATACAGATAGTGTTTATCAGCTAACGAGCAGAGGTTTTCCCCGGGGAAACCTCTGGTGTGGCCCCAGCTGCTGGGAGAGCTCCTGCAGCAATCAGTTGGTTGTTTTGTTTTGATGTGGCTGGCAGATCAGTTGATGTCCTCATTGCTGAGCTAGCCTAAATTTCAGTGAGTTACTTTGCAGATCCATCTGTTGTCTCAGCTATGCAGTGATTAGCTGGGAAGTTCCTGGACCAGGCAGCCAATTAACGACTAGGGGGCTTTGGCATGCACACAGGCAAAGCCTTCGTATCCAGCTGCACCATGACTGTAACTAAAAAACTTGAATTTCATCCTTTTATCACAGCAATAACTTAAATTCCTTTGATTTTGCCATAATACCTGAATGGTTGACCATTTCTACCTGCTCTCCTCAACAGAGGAACGCTCACTATTTTCTCCTCCTCACATAGGAGTACTCAAAAACATGATTTAAAAAGGCTTAGGTGGCTTCCTAAGACCTTTTCCTTCAGAGGGTTTGATCAGATCTGTCACTTAGAGTGCAACATCCCTTCGAGCAAGTCACGTTGTCGTCAGCGGTCTTCTGGCAGCTCCTATTTAAGCAAAAGCAGTGAGAGAAGGCCAGACCCTCTGGGCTGCTCCTCTTTACCTGCTCCACTTCAGAAGCATTTTCTAAGGAAGATTTCCCTTTTCTAGCACTCAGTTCAAGTTCTGTGAAGTCCAGAAAACACGTTTTGTGTTTCTGTGTTGCATGCACCCAGGAGAGCCGCTGCATCACACAACAGATAGACCAAACAGAAAGTGTTTTTTGCTTTTATTGAAAGCACAAGATGTCTCAGGCTGTTTCCTTACCTGTGTCTAAATGTAGAAAGTCATATGAACACAGCTATTGCCCTGCGGACTGGGGACAACTCAGCTGTGATGATGAGGGATGGGTAAATGTGAAGGATTGTGTCAAATACAAAGAGGTGAAGGATCTTTTATGAAAGGGACAAGGACTTTCAGAGTGTCCGAATACTGTCCTAAAGCAGCTGGGTTGTAGTCCTTCAGAGAGAGCAGGAAGAAAACCCTCACAGGGAAATAAAAAGGAGCTGATGTGCAGAATGGGACAGCTGAGGGATTCTGGAGGAAGGCAGAATACCCTGTGTAACAGACAGACAGAAGGAATTACCCCAGCCTTTCAGTGGGATGGCCGTCTTTAATCACTCATCTTTAGTTAAAGCTGGTGCTCTTACCTGTTTAACAATGCTGTTCTTTCCTAGGAAAAAAACTTTCCAATGTATTCTCTTCTCAGCACCAAGACCAAAACTTTTCATATGCCAATTTCAAAACTGTCCAAACTGTAAAACTTTAAAATTGTGCAATTTGATTGGAAAGTTGGAATAAAATAGCAATTTCCACTCCTCCCACCCACCTTGCTCAAGTTACAAAACAGTGCAGAAATATGCAAGGGGTTTTATTAATTGTTTTTGTTTGTTTAAGAGGTGAGTGACCATTTTCATAACAAAAAGAAGTTAATTAAATATTTTGAAAAGAAATTATTCTTAAATTCTACATATATATATATGGGCATTTCCAAACAAATAACCAATCCAGAACAACAGCTGTTGGGCAAAATAAAGCTCACAACAGAACTTTCAACATAACAACCCACAAAGGGGGAATGTTTCAGAAATACGTAACACACCAAAAAAACAGGACTTTGGGTAGCAACTAACAGGCCTGCTGCTTCTAAATCAATTACACACTTTTAAAAATCCTCCCCAAATAACTCTTCAGTCTTAATATACTGATCTGCAAAGTGTCCATAAACAACAGTTCAACCATTAGTTGTACAAATAATTGACACTTCTAAAAAAGTATCAAATATTACACTGCATCCAACCCTGTACAGTTAAGTATATGATGTTTCAACTTACATATTAATACTGAAAAAAGTATTTTACTGTCTTATTTCCTTTAAACATTCTGAGTGATGCCAGTGACAAACAAACAAACAAAAAGAATAAAATATTTGATCTTTTAATACTAAGAACTAACAAATATGTACAAATTCAAGGCATTAATCTCGATTACATTGGCATTGATTCAGTGGCAGCTGTTTGTCAGCTGAGTTGCTTAACTGCCTGTATGAAATGTGACACAGCTGTGCAGACACCTTCCACATCCTGGAGGAATTACATGCAGGGTAAGTTACTCGAACTGGTTTGTTCTACTGGGCAAGCAGGGTATGTGCATGTGGCCAGCTACAGCAGCTTGGCTCAGGCTGTCACACAAGAGCAGTAACTTAACTTAATTCTTATCTCCCAACCTGTGTACACTTGGCATCCAGACAAACTTTGACCTTTCTGATGCTTGTGATGGTATTTATTTTTTTTTTCCAGGTCTGTCATTTACTACAACTTCACATAAAAAAAAAAAAAATATCAGTACATACGAGACTAATAAATATAACAGTGTAATTAGCACCACCAAGGTGAGCAAAATCACAAATGGAAAACTGTGCAGTTGGGAAACATATTCTTTTTAAGAATTTTGTTTCAGGTTAGAAAATTTTGCTGAGCAACTGGGTTAGGTTGCATGCACTCTTTCAACAGATTTATCTGCTGTCTTCTGTGCTCAGACTGAAATGAAACCAGGAAGAAACAGGAGAAAAACCCGCATCTGCTGGACTTCTCTGTTAAACTTGGATGGGCACTCACTTAGCTAGATTGCTTTCAAGCCTTGCAGTAGCTGATTGCCTAGACCAAGCGTGTTCATCAAGTCTAGCCCTCAATAAATATATAACTGCTAATTAACGAACTGACAACCTACCAATACTAATCAAAGTCAAGTAACAGAGAAGACCAGATGTTATAACCAAAAGGGTAGCCACTGTCCCTTTGAGGTCTAAGGCTGGATTAAAACAGAGGAATTAAAAAAGAGTTATTCTCCAAAATATATGGCACATTTGGAAAAGAAGATGGTTCCTACAGCTACAAGGACTCAAAAAATACTCAGAGTTTTAATGGGTTTCAATTATTTAAATACACTAGTTTTGGGGGTTTTTGTTGCTTTGGTTTTGTTTTATCTAGATGTTTATTTGACTGTGCTAACTAAATTAAAAAGCCCCCTTTCTTAACAGTTTGCTAAGCTTGTGTATCTGTAGGCTGTCATGGTCATGTGTACATGAAGTGGTAAACCATAAGCTCAAAATTTAAGAGTCATGGAAAAGTATACTTCAGTTCTGGGAGAACTGAGACAGTTAGAAGGGAGGCAGTGGCTACCGGTGCAGGTTGCATTTAAGTTCTTATCTGCAAATAACAAACAAGGAACAGAGCCAGGTGCAATGGCTGTAACCCACAGAGGTTCCCACAAGCTAACCAGGTAGCAGCCAGTGCAGGGGGACGTGAGGCAGCAGCATGGTGACATCTATAACGGAGGCACGCTGCTGGGTTACAACTAAAACCCTGACTGAGAAAAATCATAAGTATTCTGAACACATCCAGTGTGCTGAGAATACGACTTCGAGTTTATACACTCTGTAGTATTCAAGCATGGATCAGTAGCTCCAATGAGACCTTCATCAATATGTTTCTTTATGTGTTACTTTAATTAGCATCTTTTGATGTTTCATTCATAAAGTATTATTTGTATATTAAACTGGAAGACAATGAAAGACTGATTAATTTGAAACACGATCAAACTATTCCCCCCCTCAGAATACTCACACATACATTTATACACACATACATGCACACATATATATATTTATATAAATGTACATACACATAGGATTATACATGTGTATATACCTATATAAATGTATACACACATAGGATTTCTGTGGCAAGCAGCTGGCTCAAACACAGTCTGTTCCAAACATCTGCCTCAAAATCAGTCTTGCTTAAACAAATAAACAAACTTAAAATAGAATAAAATAAAAGAAGACACCGTGTAAGGCATCAGGGATAAGGAGCACAATGTGCTACCCCACTTGAAGGAGACAAATCACACTTCTCTGTTGATGGAGTGTGACCATCCACTAGTTAAATCACTCTCAACGGAGTTCTGTTTTGCTGCTTCTGATACCTACGGAAGCTGGCATACCTCTACACTACAGTGCAGTCTGCAATACACACTCACAGAGTTTAAGAGCATGCATAGCTCACTCGAGCATCTGTTGTTAGACAGTGAAAGGAAAGGCACCAACACTGCACATGTCCCATGCAAATACAAGCGCAAGGAGGAGAAACGGAAACACAGTAGGAGAATTTAACAGCTTCAGACTAAAACTGTGATTGTCCCTACTATGCACAGTGGATCACATGACATCCCATTACTTCCCCTACTTATCGTTTTCCTAACATGGCCTTTTCTGCCCTCTTGAACTTCTGTAGCTCAATAGCTAGTTCCCAGTATCTCAGATACAGCCACATCAGTCTTCCGTTCTGACTTTTGTTTCTGTTCAGCAGATTGCCACAGTAGTTATCATGTTTGAAAATATCTCTCAAGCCACTTTCCATATGTAGAGCCATAGCAACAGGATCAGTTGCTGCTTTAACTAGCAGATTCTTCTCTATTTCTAGTCTCTGGCTTCTGGGTACAACAAGACTGCAGTAGATGTCCTGCCTTTCTTTAAGTCCTTCTTCAAATTCTTTTAGTAAAATATTTGCTCTCTTTTGCCACTCTTCTTCCTTTGCCAGACAACTTTGGTACAAGTTACCTGCTGCTCCTGAGTGCAAAAGAACTTGTTTTTCGCGCTCTAACTTCTCCTGCTCCTGTTCTAGGATTCTCCTTTCCTCTACTAGTTTGCGACTCTGGGACACGAGGGCTTGACGGTAACTCAGGGTTCTGTTCCGTTCCTTTTCCAGCTCCAACTCCAAATGAGCAACTGTGCGACGATTTTCTGTGATTATATCCCGGTATTTGGCTTCCAGGTCTTTTTGTAAAGATGAATGTTTTTTGTAATATTCTTTTTTTTCTTTTTCTATTTCTTTTTGACATTCTCTGGTCCAGATCCAACCTATCATATATAAATGAGACTTCAGACACAGCACATATAACATTGATGGGTGTGATTAATTAACTATGCCTCTAAAGAAGCTATTCCGTGGTAAAAAAACCCTTCCTTCCTGCCCTCCCCACAGTGATATTCACTACTATTCACACGTCCCACAAAACGTATTTCTGTGGGTCCCCGTTGCACAGTAAGTCACTTTAAATGATCATGTTTCTTTTGAAGTAAAACCTCCCCTTGTCTTTCATTGCTAATACTTACACTTCTTGGATTAAAGAAGGAAAATAAAGTTATGGGGAAACAAACTGGAAGTTTCCAATGCAGGAACTGCACTGAGAACTTTTCAGGTCAAGTAAATATACACCAGCAGCTGCTTGGATTGTTAGCTTTGTGCTCTCATTGAGAGCTTTGGGCTCTCATTGTGCGTCCGCTCTTCCGAAAGACGTTTGCAAACCTGCGCTTACTAAACACGGCCTCAGTTCCCTGTGTGAAGAACGCCCCTTGCCTTAGCGCAACGAAGAGCACTTACTGTTTATGACACTCTAAAGGAGCGGACCAGAGGAAGCCCCTGGGTGGGGTGGCACTTTTGGGCTGCGGTGCCCCAGAGGCTCCCCCCGGCTGGGGCCCAGCCGCCCCGCGCCCCCCCAGCTCCCGCCGAGGGGCCTGGCCGCTACTTACGGAAGGCGGCCAAGCCCAGCATGGGGACCAGCAAGGCGTAGTTCCATCTGCTGCCTTCATCCCCGGGCTCCCGTTGATTTGGCAGGATGTTCCAGTTGGGAGGGTCATTTAAATTATTCATGAGGGCACCTTAGCTTCACAGGAGAGAAACGCGGCCTAAGCGGCACGCAGAGGGGCTAGGGCCGCTCCCCCGGACCCGCTGACTGCGGGACAGGTATTTCAGCCGCAGGCTCCCAAAAGGCGGCCCGGGCCCTCTGGAACTTCGCGCGGACGCGCTCCCGTTCGGCGGGAGGCTCCCGTTCGGCCCGTAGCTCCCAGCCTGGGCGCGGCCGGCAACGTACCGCGGCGGCCCCCCCCCACCCCCGGGCCTCGACGCTGCCGCTGTTACCGCCCACCCCCTTCCCCGGCCGGCGGCACGTTAGCGGATGGTGTTGTTGTTGTTGTTGTTGTTGTTGTTGTTGTTGTTGTTGTTGTTGTTGCCGCCGCCGCCCCCGGGTTCCCCCGCGTCGCAGGCCCGGCGGCGGCCACTGACCGGCCCGGGAGCGCCAGCCGCGGTGGAGCCGCTGTCACTTACCTGCCGGCCACGCCCCCTCGTAGGCCGGCCCATTAGCTAGAGAAAGAGGGAAGAAGCCGAGGGGGACAACAAGCGGGCTCGCCCGGCTCCTAAGCGCTCCCGGTCGTCTGACGCCGTCCCAGCCCGCTCAGCTGTTGAGGCGAGGCGCGGAGCCGGTGAGGTTTGGGGGGGACCCCGCACACCAGCACGCAGGCACTCAACCCGTGACTTTCCCCCCCCCTCCCAGCACAATTGGTGTCTCCCACCGGGCCTTGCGGGCAGCGGTGCCGTTAGCGGCCCCCTCGCGCACGCGCGCTGGGTCGTTCCTCCGGGCCCGGGCGAAATGGCGGCGGCGGTAGCGGCGTCGCGGAGCTTGGCGAGGCGCTGGCTGCGGCCGGCGGCGCGGGCGGTAAGTGTCTGTGCTCGGCCCGCCTTGCCCCGGCCTGGCCTCCCAGCGGAGGGGAGGAGGTCCAGCCGCGGGGCTGGCGCGGCGCAGCCCCTCCGGGAGGGAGACGGGCCGGCTGGGCCTGGGGACCCCGCGCGTCTCCCGCCCCTGCCCTCAGCCGCGGCGGGGCAGCGCGCCCGGCCCCGGCCCCGTCCCGCCCGTCCCCCCACGCCGCCTGCTGCGCGGGGGCCGCCGGCGGCCCGCACCCGCTGTCTCCCCCGTGACCTTGGCGGGGCAGCACCCGTCCCCAGGCGGGCAGCCGGGGACGCGGGCCCCCTCGGCAGGCTCGCTGCCTCCCGTTCCGTTCCTGCTCTCGGAACGCGGCCGTCCTCGCTCTCCGGGGCTCCTGGCGCAGGTTACTGGGAGGTAACTGGCTGTGGGTACGGCCGGGCCGCCCCGCCCGGCTCGGGAAGCGAGCGTCGTAGCCTGAGGCCGTGAGGAGGCTGCCGGAGGGACGGCGAGCGGTTGCGGGAAGGGCGCTGGGAGAGACCGGCAGGCATCTCCCGGTCCCGGCAGCCGGGTGGAAGGCTTACCACTGGCTCCTGCTAGCTCTGCGCGGAAAGCTAGTGTGTATCGGCGTGTTGCTTAGATCTGGCTAGCAGTTGTTTCCAGGACGTGCTGCTTAAGCGTTTGACGGTTTTGTTTTAGCTGATCTGTAAGTAGTCCTTAGTTGAAGGTTTGTTTTTCTCCTTGGTGAAGTGGGAGTTTTCAGTTTCCACTGTTCTCACTGTGTGTGTCCATAATGAGCTTGAGGTTACAAGAGATAAATGCGTGGGAAAAGCACCCTGTAAGCGCAGCAAAGACAGTCTACTGGAGGGGAGAAGGGCTTTAAGAGTGTCATTATGTTTTAGATGGCTGTGAACTGGCCCTGACTGGACCTTTAATTTTGCAAGGGTCATGATGTTCCTGGTAGCATAACAATTCAGGATTAGTGTGATCAGTGTTTCATTTGAATTTAGTGTAACATCTTTTTCTGCTTTGTGGACTTTTGTTCTGGCTCATACTGAACAAAACTTTGTGGCATCAGAAATTCTTATGTATATCTTCAACAAAAAGGTTGGGTTGGAATAGCAGTTCTGAAACCTGTTTTGCCAAAGCTTGGATATGAAAAGCAATCTGCTGAACAGTTGTGTGGTTATGGTTTTATTTTTATTGTATTTTGTTATATATTTCTAGAGTCCTCTGATGCAAAATATATTTGGTACCTGCTTATAGTGACTTCAGAAAATAACACAGTTTTAAAAAATGAAATTAGCTGCAACTCATTGTCATAGATTTCTTACTAGAGATTGTGCTGGCTGCTTGAGGGGAGGAAAAAAATGGGTCAATTTCTTCTGGGGCCTTAAGGCATAACCACAGTCTATAGCTCCTGGGTTTGTTTGTGGGTTTGGTTTTTTTGGTGTTGTTTTTTTTTCCCCTCAGTCATTTGCACTTTATTTAAGCAATGCTGTGTGTGTACAAACCTGTTTGTTGTGTGAAATCTTTACATACAGTACAGATTTTATTTGAATTGCTTTATGCGATAACCAAATATATTGTTGCTCACCTTTAAGAAAGTATCTATTGCAGTAAAAAAAGCGCTACTGTTGCTGGAACAACATTTTGGAAACAAGTAGTAGTAGTATGTGTTAGAGAATGCATGGCTTCTACTTGTAAGGTGTGCAGTGTAGCCTGCCATTAGCATTCTGCTAGTCTAACTTCAGTTGCACACAGGCCTGAGAAAGCAGTTTTGCTACCAGAGAAGCAGCCCCATTTTAGCCTGAGCTGAGATTATTAGAAAAGCTATTTTGCAGAGGAATTACGACTGATACTTAGGTTTCATCTGTCTGTCGGTGAACTAGTTGATCTGATTCTGTATGTGAAATATTACTGAAGATGTTGAATGCAGGAATTAAGATGGGCATGAAATTGCCCCAAAGCATAACAACACAGCAGGGTGGGAGGGGGAGTAGCTGCCTGGAGGGGAGAGTACTAGTAGAACTCCTTATGAATAGGTGTTAAGACTGATCTTATTTAAAGATGGCTGTAAAAACCAGAAGTGTGTTACCAGACACAGTGACACATGAGGCTCACTGTTGTGTGAGAAGATAATTTGATGAAACTAATATGAGAAACAGTAAAACTAGGTCAAGGAAAGTGTACTGTAGTTCACTTCAGAGATGGGGAAAGAGGTGGACAATTGGCAGTGATAGGGAGGGAAGATCTGCTTGTTAGCACATTACAGGGTGATTGAACCATGAATATAAGAATTGTTGGAAAAGGCATATATCACTCCAGTGCATTTTAGGATATATTTCAAATAGGGAAGTGCTGATGTTGCTGCACAGGTTGCTGGTGTGGCTTTGTGAGGCTGTTCTCATCAATCATGCATGCTCAGTTAGGTGTGTTTTTCTGAACAGTGTACATAAAGAATACCAGGTTCCAAGAAGTCGGATATTTGTAATGTGGAGACTAAATTTCTGATTATTTTAACTTATTAAAGCAAATACTGGGTAGGTTTGTGTGGTGCATTTTTTTGTTTTATTGTTTGTTTAGAACTTGCCGGGGGAGAGAAAATAACATTATAGAAGGGGGAAAACTGTGCCCTTATGCTTCAGTTAGGTATTAATAAATGGTTCTAAGTTGGCCACTAATTAATAGAGAATGAGAAAAAGAGAAATATCCCATGACTTTTGAAGCAATGATGATCTGGAACAGCTTTCCCTACCACCTAGTTTTTTAATCTACATTACTCTTGACCACCTGAAATAATTCAAATTCTGAGGATTGCTTGACATGAAAGGTATTTTCTGTTAATTCCTGTAATTCCCACAAAGCTGTCTTCATCTTTGTTTATTTATGAAAAAAAAAAAAAAGTAAGAATACTACAGCATTAATTGCAAATATATTAGTTTGTCAGTGCAGCCTCAGGTAGGTCTGAGACTGGTTAGTTTCAGTGATGTAAATAACAGATAGTCTGTGGCACCATTACTTGTAGGCTGTTCTCTCATCCAGTCAAAACTTAATTTTTTTTTTTCTTTTTTTTTTCTGGGTATGAATATATGAAAGCCAGAACTTCATTGCATGTAGCTCTAAAATACGTTGATACAATATTCTCGTATATGTGGTATCAGTGGTAAGTATAAGTTTGTTATAAATGTAGGCTAGCTGAGAATGCTGGAAGTGTTCTTGATGGAAACATATGTTCTATAATATTTGTCTTGACTTCTTTCCATAGTGGCCAGCAGCATGCCAGACTCTTGCACGTAACTTACACTTCACAGTCTATGGAAAGAAAAATGCTTCTACAAAGGTTTCTGATTCGGTATGTTTGTACTTCTTTATACCTTAAGTAACAGGTTAGATAATCATAGAATCATAGGATGGTTTGGGTTGGAAGGGACCTTAAAGATAACCTAGTTCCAACCCCCCTGCCCCGGGCAGGGCCCCTTCCCCCAGCCCAGGGTGCTCCCAGCCCCGTCCAACCTGGCCTTGAACCCTTCCAGGGAGGGGGCAGCCACAGCTGCTCTGGGCACCCTGGGCCAGGGCCTCACCACCCACACAGTAATGCCTGAGGGATGTGAAACAACCAGGTACTTGGCATTTAGTGGAATGTTGTGTTCAAGTACATGGGCTGAGTTGCTGAAATGCTTTGTTTTATTTAATGATGGTTTACATCCAAGAAAGTAGTTGTAAACAAATGTAGCATTTACTGCAAGAGTATGTTAAGAACATTAAACATATACTGCTTGTGTCTCCATGAAACATAAATTTGACTTAGCTTGAAATATTTGTGATTATAACAAACTGTTTATTTTTCTAGATTTCTACACAATATCCAGTAGTGGACCATGAATTTGATGCCGTTGTTGTGGGCGCAGGAGGAGCAGGTCTGCGAGCTGCATTTGGTTTGTCAGAGGCAGGATTTAATACAGCATGTGTTACAAAGCTGTTTCCCACCAGATCTCATACTGTTGCTGCACAGGTGAGGGGTGAGGTGGAACAAATGTTTAAAAAATGCCCGCTGTCGGAAAGCTGGTCTGGATGTGCTCGTGGACATCATGTTTCAAGGCCATGCTTCCTTTTAGAAGTATTGCATATTTAGCTGAAACTATTTTGGAGGGCAATATATGTTTAGATTCTATTCAGTGCATTCAGTGTAACTTTGCAATTCATTGTTAAACACACAACAGAACAAGATAAGAGCCATTGTGAAACTGATAAGTTGCACAGGTTTTTCACAGTCACGTTAAATCTGACTTTACTGTATTTCTTGTACACAGAGGCATAAATGGTATGTGATTTTTGAAGAGAAATGACGAAAACCTACTAAAACTGTACCTCAGTAACATAATTCCAGGAAAATGGATTTTAATTTTCAGGGAGGGATCAATGCTGCTCTGGGAAACATGGAGGACGATAACTGGAGGTGGCATTTCTATGACACAGTGAAGGGGTCTGACTGGCTGGGTGACCAGGACGCCATACACTACATGACCGAGCAAGCCCCAGCTGCCGTGATAGAGGTGAGACCCCCTGGAATTGAGGTCAGCTCTAAGTATTTATAACACAGCCTAGCTTCCAGAGAGATCTCCTTACTAGGAACATAGTAAAATAACCTGGATTGTTATGCACAGGAGTTTCTGATGCTTGTATTCGGTTTCCACAGCTGGAAAACTATGGGATGCCGTTCAGCAGAACTGAAGAAGGAAAAATCTATCAGCGTGCATTTGGTGGACAAAGTCTTCAGTTTGGAAAAGGAGGACAGGCTCACAGATGCTGTTGTGTTGCAGACAGGACAGGACACTCACTGTTACATACTCTGTATGGCAGGGTAAGCAGCTGTGAAGTAAACTTGGTCTGGGTTTTTGTATTTGCATTTGAAATTTTTGTTTCTGTTTCCCCCCCCCCGCCCCTGCCGCAAGTTTTTGAAAAGACAAACAAAAAATCACAACAAAAGTGGACAAACAGAAAAAAACCACTGTGTAGCTGTTCACATAGGAATGAAGAAGCCAGGGGAATGAATGATAACAATTCTGGATTCCCTCCCTCTGCAATATGGAAGGATATCCTAGGTGATGCTTGTTTTTTGTCAGGAGTGTGCAGAAATAGAATAAATTGAAAGATCATAATTATAATGGCTCTTGTGAAGACAACAGATGTTAGTGTGCACTGTTAGCTTTGTGATCTGTAGTAGTTCTTTGCTGTTATTATGTTTGTATCTGCTAACTAGACCCAAAAAGAGCTTACGTAAACATTCCCCCCAAAATTTTCTTCAAAAAATGTGACACAGCAGCATTGGGGAACTCTGAAAAGAGGTACAAGGCAGTGTTTTCTTTCACTCATCTTCAAACAGAGGGCAGAGGGCAAACAAGAAGTGCAAATGCATGAAGGCCTGCTGTTCATTTCTGAGCTTGCTCTGTGCAAGTGAGTGACTGAGGTTCCAGCATCTGTTCATATCAGTTTTGCAATCCATAACTGAAGAAGGATGTGGTTATTTTTAAATGGTAGTAAGCTACTTGAAACCTGAAATTAAGTAGCTAGTAGCTAATGGTTTTTTATTTAGTTAGTAGCCAGCTAATTGCTCTCCTTCAGGTTCACACTATACTTGCTGCTACAATACAAATGCTCAGTGTTGCCAAACACTGGTCTGATCCTTGAGGGCATGAAAGAATGTTTGAATTGATGCCCACTGCTGCTGCTGGTACACTAGGCTCCTGGAGATACATTCCGCTTCTCTGTGAGAGGTTAAGTAAAGCGTGCTTGTACACGTATCGAGCACTGCAGGTGACTAAAGTGTTGCCAAATGTAGAGGGGAAATAACAAGTCTTGCTGACTAGCTATGACTTCTCAGGACAAAGCGGTTTGGTAATTACTCGTGTCTCTTTAAGCTAGAATAAATTCGTTAGCTAATTTTTATAAAGATGTATAACAAAACTGGCTTTCCTGAGAGTTCTTGAGGGTGGTTTTTATCCTGATGCAGCCCCTGTGCATTGACAGTTTTGAAGAGAAGTGACTTTGGTTTCTGGATTTTTCTTCAAGTCCCTTGTTTTGTTTTCCTCCAGTCTCTAAGATACGATACAAGCTACTTTGTTGAATATTTTGCCTTGGACCTACTTATGGAAAATGGAGAATGCCGTGGTGTTATTGCCCTTTGCATAGAAGATGGCACTATACATCGTTTTAGAGCAAAGAATACTGTCATTGCCACTGGGTAATGTAATGTTTATGATGGACAGAAATTTGAGAGTGCTATTAGTTGGAAGTCTGTGTGTTTATACATGTATTCGAATCCCCAGCGTGGAGATGATGGACTGACTTGAAAAATGTAATTTATATGTTAATCTCCACCACTTCCTCCCCCTCCCACCCCGATCAAAAGCAATATAACTGAATTCAGTCTTTCCCTCTGAAAAAAGGCACTAATATTGTGACCAAGTAAAAGTTTATTAGGTCTAATGTTGAATTCTGTAATAGTGACATAAAGTTGGAATGTGTAAGAACAGTATGTATGGTCCAAATGATCTTTAGATTTTTAGAATGTGCTGTTTAAAGCAGACATTGTTACAAAGCTACCAACGTGTATATCTGTAGGGTTCTGAGTTTCCTGTAGGAAATGGCTTTCTTCAAAATTCTGGTGAATCTATTACATTAAGATACGTTGTAAGTCTAATTTTTGTGGGATGAAATTATCAGAAGGTGAATATAACTTAACCTCACTTAGTTGCAAAAATTTGTATATGTGTATTAGAATACTACATGCATTAGTCTTTTGCTGTTTATGGCTGTCTCCTCTCCGTTTCAATATGCAAAATATTTATAAACTTATCTGTCAAAGAAAAATATTTAGTTTGGTTGCCTACATAATTTGGCTTTATTAAAGCCAAGGCTATTTTCATACTTGCATACTTAGGTACATATAATATGTGGATTGATATTTATTCTGGGAATTTGTCCTGAAATTGGAGTATTGGCAGTTCTTAATAACGTTGGAAGCTAACCTATTTGTTTTAAGGATAAATATCAATGTTTAATACCTAATTTTAGACAACTAAGTGTTTAAATCTAAGAATATAAAACCAGGGTGATATGGAAGATAAACCATTGCTATATGCTATTTTTGATAAAACTGCTAGTAGTAGTTCAAATGAAGTCTAATGGTATTGGATTGAGAGAACTTTTTGAGGTTAACTTTCTTCTGTCAAAAAGGCTTCTGATATTAACCTATCTATCTTGCTTTGAAATCATTATGCTTTTTATTGGACTTTGTCATCAGCTGTTTTTCAAATATGATTGAGCACAACAGGGCAATACCGATTTTGTTTTTTTTTTTTGTTTGAACTTAGTACAGGCAAAACTTACATATCTTGTTAAATAACCCTCTGCTCTGTTTCCACTGTTGTGCAAAGAGCATAGCTGAGTAGTGTGTTCTAGTGATTTTATTTTTTTTATTTTTGGAATGCTAATTCTGTTAACTTTTGTGTCCTGTAGGGGGTATGGCCGCACTTACTTCAGTTGTACATCTGCTCATACTAGTACGGGTGATGGCACTGCTATGGTCACACGAGCTGGTCTTCCTTGCCAGGACTTAGAATTTGTGCAGTTTCACCCTACAGGTACAGAATATGAAATAATGCTTACAACATTTTTTTTAATGAGTTGAACAGATTTGTTTGTTTGTTTTAAAATGTGCTCAAGTCAGTTTGCACTTTTCTGCAGCACTTCATTAGTTGCTTGGGACAGGTGTTCAGGCTTGTCTGCAACTGCTGTTGAATATAAATCTGAGAGTAAGACATAGAATATAAGAAGGATGTCAGCTGTTCTGATTTAAAGACCAGTGTTAAATATTATGAGGTGCTGTCTGTACAGGTTTTATGAATTCCAAGTTGAAACTGCTTCACCTCTTAAACTTACATTTCCTTTTGTCTTTAAAATATTAAAGGTTTTGATATTAGGTACAGCAGCAACAGGATAGATGTAAGTGTTAGGGAGTTATATACTAGAATCTTTTGTGGAAGTGGGGTAGTTGATGAAGTAAAGATATATATTTAGGACTGTGGTTTTACAGCACAGGATCAGTATCTAAACTGTGGACAACAATAGTCAGAAACTAAAAGGTAGTATATTTTTTTTTTAGCTAATTAAATGCTTAGCTTTGATTTATGACAAGTGGTGAAATGTTTTCAGTTGTTCAGTTACTTCTACAATGTTATTGTTGTTATATCATAGAGATCCAATGTTCATTTGACTTAGCTAAGGCTTTTCTAGTCAAAGAAGCTTCTGATAATTCCACAGCTTTTAACGTAATGATCAACTGCATGGGTTGGTAAGCATTTTTGTTTTCCATGATGACCAGTGCTGAAGGCTAACAGGTAGGCCTTCCTTCTCTAAAGAAAAAGATTTACTGAGTAGGCTTTCACATTCCACACAGTTTGAAGCCATCCTGTACTGCTATAGCACAGGAAAAGAGGCAACAAAGGTGAGCAAACGGGCCTTGAGATAATCAGCTTCTGGTTTACTTAAAAATCTTGAATAAAATGATTGCTGAAGGTCTACAAAATCCTTGTTAAAGTCTCCTTTCATATTGTTGGGTGCAGATCTCGTCTATTTCTAATATTTCACATACCGTGGGTGTTTCAGATCAACTTGCTCACCTTTGAGGAAGAGTGTTTGAAAGGAGTAACAATACTTGTTTCTGAGCAGTCTTGGGGACAGTTGCTAGTGGTATGATTAGGGTGGAATAAAATCTACCCCTGTGACTTTTTTGCATTATTTTAAGAAGACCTTGTTTATTCAGTCCTGGTCATCCTGATTATGAAGGTGTTGAGGGAATATCTCATTTGATGTTTTTTTTCTTTCTTGACAGGTATCTATGGGGCTGGCTGCCTTATAACTGAAGGGTGCCGTGGAGAGGGAGGTATTCTAATTAATAGTCAAGGTGAAAGATTCATGGAGAGATACGCACCTGTTGCGAAGGATCTGGCTTCCAGGGACGTAGTATCTCGTTCTATGACCATAGAAATCCGTGAAGGAAGGTTAGTTAAAAGGAACACAAGATGTTAGGAGTATCCTGTTTGAATTTGCTGCATTTAAAGACAGTTGCTCCAGCAAGTTTAATGTATATGCTCTTACCGGAAGCAATGGAAATAATTTGGTCCTCTGTTCTCTTAATTAATTATTTTAATTTCTTACATGTTTTTGCAGTGATACAGTGGTTTAAAGTCTTAAAAACTGTGAATTACTGTGAAAAGAAAGCTGGGAGGTGAAAACTGCTCATAAATTCTCCCAGGTTTAACAGTTTTTTCAAATATGCTAGATACTAATTCTTGTCAGATAACCTTTGAAAAAATTAAAAGTTAAAATTTTTCACAAACGAAACAAATGGGATTAGAAATATTACTGGTGCTTGCAGAATTCCTGTTATGCATTCCAGTGTTGACTTGGCTGGGGTTTTTTTGTTTGTTTGTTTTTTGGTTTTGGTAGGGGTTGTGGTCCTGAAAAAGACCATGTGTACTTGCAGTTGCACCACTTACCACCACAGCAGCTAGCAACCCGTCTCCCAGGAATTTCAGAAACGGCTATGATATTTGCTGGAGTCGATGTCACTAAAGAGCCTATTCCTGTTCTGCCTACTGTGCATTATAATATGGGAGGTATTCCTACTAACTACAAAGGACAGGTAAGTAACATACATCACTTCTAGGATTTTTTTTTTTTCCAGCATGGTAATAGGAAATGATTTTCAAAATAGAAAAGCATTAACAGTGTCTTCCATAAATGCAAGGATGTTGACTAACATTAGCTTAATAATAATACTATGATAACGATGTCAGAGTACTTAAAACACACAGTCTGGTTTGGTTTTGTAAGTAACTTGAGAGCCATGTTCCAGCCCATCTGGAGATGGGAGTTGCAAGAAACATCTGAAATAAAGTTACTGTCAAGTCTGACAACAATTCTTGTGCTTATCAAGTTGATGATAATATATGGTTGAACAGGGATCAAACTAAGGCACTATTAAAATCCACAACTGAAGTTAAATGTATATTAATTCTTTATACCTCCTATAATCTCTACACTAAAGCAGATTCCTTCAACTCATACTAGTTAGAAGTCAATGTGATGGTGTCAGCTGAATTCTTCTATTTCAGTATATTGTACTTTTTGATTTTTTTTAATGTAAAATTTTGCCTTCAGAATATGTGCGGATCAGATTTTCTTACCGTGCTTTTCTGACTTGCTGCAGAATTGTGATGAAGGGTACGTGGTTCTGTTTCACAAGCATAACTAAAGGAACCTTAGGTTTTAGTGCCATCTGTGTTTACACAGTATTACTACTTACCCTTTAGAACAAAGATATGGTTTTAGAGTTGGAGAAAACTTTAGATTGCTGCATTTCATCCTAACGTGCACATGGCCATTGCGAATAGGGAGGTTTGCACTGTTATAAACTGTTTAAGAAATCAGTGTTAATTGACTGTCTGAAATGATAGGTGATCACACATGTGAATGGTGAGGATAGAGTGGTACCTGGTTTATATGCTTGTGGGGAAGCAGCCTCTGCATCTGTCCATGGTGCAAATCGACTTGGAGCAAACTCGCTTCTGGATTTGGTGGTCTTTGGTCGTGCTTGTGCCCTTACTATTGCAGAGACATGCAAGCCTGGTAAGTCTAGCAGTTTATCTCACTTTTTGAGACATTTGCCTTTGTGATTACATTTCTGCCCAACAAGGAGTTGTTGCTACCTAATTCAGAGTGCTAGACATAGACTCTTATTTGTTAGAAAAGGCAGAAAGCAGTGTCCATGCTTTTTATAGGCACGTTCTTTGCGATGCAAATGTTTGTCGTTAACATTTGCTTTGTGTGTTGATCTTCTTAAAGCTAGACCTGGGTCAATGTTATTAGCAAAACAGTTGAGATTTTTCACAAAGTAGCAAAACAGAATATCGAACATGAAGACTGACTTCTCTCAATCCTGCACTGCACCTTCAACATTAAAATGTACTGTCTATTACAGTGGAATTTGCTGCCACCTTGTTCATTTACAAGGTGGACTGCATGTGCATATAATGAGATAGATACTAAATATCATACCATGTCATCCCCTATATGTGGATTATTACTGCTGAATATTATTTTTAAATAATCTGATTCAACAACAGTTACTGAGCTAAAAAAAACAAAAAACAAACAAAAAAAAAACCCCAAAACACAATACTGTAAGAGGCAGTTATATTGCTAGAACAGCTCAAGTCCAGAAGTAGTAATGTTTTCTCATTGCTTAATGACGCAAGTTAATAAGACTGTTTTTCTCTGTCTGCACAAAGCACACAGAGTAATGGTTCCTGAAGGAGTCAGCTTGGATCTAGCAATGCCTATTGGCTCTGGCTTTGTGTAAACATTTATTTGAATCAGTCTTTCTGTGGCTTCTTTGAGTTTGAAGTTGCAAGAAGGGTTTTATTAGTCTGAGTGCAGAGCTACACAAGAGATGAAGTGTGCTGGTAAGGTGCTGAGTTTGATTTGTTACCCAATAACAGAAGGGTTCCAGTGTTAGAGGCAAGATGCAGAGCTTATGTGTAATTGCCAGGCTTATTGACTGGTCCCTGGTCCCTTAATGGATCCAAAAGAGGGTGGGAGGTTTAGGGGTGAGGAGACAACAAAAGTATAGGAGAAGGTGAGAAGGAGCCATGTGCTTATTCTATAGTTCAGAAGAATTTGTATCAAGTACTGTTTTTAAAGAATTAAAAGCAGAATTTAGCCAAACCTATGAGTTCCCTACTGTCACATGAAAGAGTGTGGTTCATATATTTCACTGAGAACTCTATTTTTAAGTGTAGGGATACCACTGGTGGGAGTTCAGAAAAACTACAGTTAACCTAAACCTCAGATGAAGAAAACAGATTCTGTTTTAATCAAATCTGACTTTTAGTAGTTGCTAGTCTATGAAACTGCCAGAAACCAAACCCAGTCATGTACTAAACTTATTGAAATTTTCGTATTAGGAGAGCCAGTTCCCTCCATTAAACCAAATGCTGGTGAAGAATCAGTTGCTAATCTTGACAAATTAAGATTTGCTGATGGAACTGTAAGAACTTCAGAGGTGCGACTTAACATGCAGAAGGTAAGCCTGGTAAAGCTCTCCAGTATAAGGTAGATAGAGCTGCAACCAAGGGGATTGGTCACTTTGTGAAGTATGCTTCAGGTTTGCTTTGCAGAAGTAAAACAGTGTGAGAAGACTGTCTGTGTGCATCTGTGCAGCAGAGGCTCTATCAGTTTTGTTTCTTCTTCCCCTCACGGTTATTCCTCATGGGTAGCTTACCCACTGTATAATAGAGTGGGGTTTCCTCTGGGGGTGGACAGAAGAATATTTCTTCTTTTTCTTCAGGCTGCGGACGTGTTTGAAATCAAAAGCTCTATATCAAGCTCTGGAACTAATGAAGTTGTGTGGGATATTATGCATATGCAGCATATGAAACTGATTTTGTTTTACTGTCTTGCAGACAATGCAAAACCATGCTGCTGTATTTCGTACTGGTTCTGTACTCCAGGAAGGCTGTGAAAAACTTAAACAGATTTATAGTGATCTGGCTCATCTAAAGACATTTGACAGAGGTAATTTGATAGCAAAGAATACATATTGGCCACAGTACTCTCTAGGAAAAGTGTTTGTTTTTCTTCTGTAAACCTGCTTATATGTTTTTTTGAAACTTTGGCTAAAAACTTCAACCGTTTCAATCTTTCAAAGTATTTTGTAGAGCCCTACTTGCTAAGCATGGTAAAGTTTTAGATCTTACTGGTCATTTTCTCATTGCATACTCTTTCGAAGAAGCAGAGATTGAAACCAGATTTAACTGTATAAGGTATTAACTGCTGTTTTCTCAGAATACGATGTGAAGTTGTTCACATATTAAGATGAACTTTGTAAATGTCTTCTGAAAAGGCCAGGGACTTGCAAAAAGGTGGCGAGACTATTCATAGGCTGAACACTCAGTTTTTGTTCTTCAGCTGAGCAGATAGTTCTGCATACAGATACTGCCATGTCTTGCAGTGTATCTGAGGACAATTTGGCTAATTAAGTCCAACTGGTGATGTACCTTTTTGTCTAGTCACATTGTGTATCTCCCTCTAAGTACTGCTATTGGACATGTATTCTAAAACCAAACATAGAACCAGTATTCTTGGACAGCTCTCACCAAGCATCCAGAAAAGTGTTACAACAGCTTAGAATGTAGGGGTCAAAATGAAGATGCATTTATGTAAGTGACCTTGGGTCCACCTTGGAGATACTTCAATGAAGAAGAACCTTGTCTAACTAGCAGGTGTTTTTTCTTCTCTCTGAGGGTGGGAAGGAAAGGAAAGCCCTGTTATCTGGATCTGCTAGGGATCTATTTAAAGAGCTACCATCTGGCCAAATCTTGTGATCCAAAATGAGGTATGGGGACTGAGTTCTAGGTGTGATATAAAGCAGGCAGGAATCTGTGGTGTCATTTTGTTTTAGTAGTACACATGCAACCGGGACACCTGGTAGAACTACTGAATTTTTCTAAGATTCATTATGATTGTTAGGGCGTAGGAATTGTTACTGAGCCCTGCAAGCAACAGTGAGTATTTCAGTACTGCAGAGTACTGTGACAGAGTGCAGTAAGTAGAGCATTTGCTAGTTTGATTCTAAGTATCAGCAACAGGACAGAAACAAATTGAGGAGTAACTTGTTTGTAGAACATCTTCCATAGCATCTTAATATTTTACTAGGCATTGTGTGGAACACTGACTTGGTGGAGACCCTTGAACTGCAAAACCTGATGCTTTGTGCTCTACAAACCATTTATGGTGCTGAGGCTCGCAAAGAGTCCCGGGGTGCTCATGCCAGAGAGGACTATAAGGTATAAATGTTTTCTGTGACCTGGATGTAGGATTGAATTTCCTTTTTATGTGTCTTGAGATGGATTATTTAAAAGTTGTAATTTCTTCAAAGTAGTCTTCAGTCTAGTGTTAAGATTAGTGTAGTACTTGTCTGGGGTCCTATCTTCTCTGTTTAATCTGTTTGGATTTGTTATATATGAAATGACTAATGCATGCAACGTTGGGTAACGATCTCGAGAGAAGAGTTGTTCCATGTGTGCATCCAAACGATTAGAGAGGTCTAAACCAGGACTATAGTAATAATAAGGTCATGAATGCATAAACAGGACTTCAAGCAGAATAAGTGTCCTGTGCAAGGAACATTACATTAAAGCCGTGGTTAAGCCTCAGTGTTTAAAATTTGACATGGGCAGTGTTCAGATGAAGCTTGCTGGCTGTTAGACACATTGTGTTACAGCTGTAATTGGAATGAAACTAATCATGTGGTTGTAAAGTGATTTGCAGATGTAATTTCTGGTCTGTACTAACCTAATTTTCTCCATAGTTACGGATAGATGAGTTTGACTATTCTAAGCCACTCCAAGGCCAGCAGCAGAAGCCGTTTGAAGAGCACTGGAGAAAGCACACCCTTTCATATGTGGATGTCCCATCTGGGAAGGTACGTTGGGCCTGATGCTTGAGGGTCTTTCTCGCAGTCAAAAGACAGCTGCTCCCATAAACAGCTCTTGATATCATGGTAATACTGCAAATGATTGTCACTGTCTGAGGCATCTGATACAGTTTAGTGTACTTAAAGCAAAAAAACCAAACCAAAACAAAACAAAAAAAAAACAAAACAAAACAACAACAACAACAACAACAAAAAAACAACAAAAAAACAACACCCACGAGCAAAACGCAAACATTTATTCCGTTGTTGAGTAGTAGGTATAACCGAGAGAATCTACTGTTGATCTTTGGGAAGTGGCTTTGTGATTTGAGCTGGAATTGTTTTTCCCCTTATATCAGGCTTTTTTCTTTTCTTCTGATGGTGGGAAAACCTGTTGTTGATTTTAGACAGAACTGAATGAGTCTATGAAAATCTCGAGTGTCATTTTTTTGTATCCCATTCTCTAAATCCTCTTTGTTTCCTCTTCCCCCAGTTCCAGCTTTCTTGAAACTAGTTTGAGGACAAGTGAGAACATTACACTTCCTGAATAGGTGCTGAGGACAGAAAGATAGTGTGACACAGTTCTCTCTCCTAACTTTTCCATTGGGTTCTCTATCTCAGAGACTTTCCTAGCTTAAGGGAACTAACAGTTTTAGACAAAACTTTACCTTTGTCCAAAAGTCCTTTTTTTAAAGTAGTAGTCTTCTGATACCATTTCCGGTCAGGCTTTGCTTTTGAGAAATTCAATCAGTGGTAACTTGGTGGAACTTTAAATGTTCCTTGTAGGTTACTAACTGTTCATTTTCTGCGGAAGGAAAAGAATAATGATAAATTAGCTTAACATTAAGTCATTCAGTTATCTCTGTCATTTGGTCATTCCTGTTTAAGACAAACCAACCTTTTCTATCTAAAGTTCTTTGTTCTCTTTTTCTTAGGTTACCTTGAAATACAGACCCGTAATCGATAGAACTTTGAATGAAGAAGACTGCTCAACTGTCCCACCTGCTATTCGCTCATACTAGTAACCTACTTTTAACTCGCAGCCATCTCCCAGAGAGGGGGGTTTAATGTACATAAGCATAGCACAAGCAAATCAAAATAGTATTGTTTATTACCAATTGATGGAAAACACTGACTAAGCTTTTCTCCAGCCTTGTATTCTGCTGTGGCTTACTATACAATTATGAAAATGGAATGCGGGACAGCTGCTGTTCTTTCACCTGTCTGGCACAACTGCCAGGGAAAACACAAAATTGTGTCTAAATAAAGTGATGAAAATCTTGTATTTGTATTTGTTTGAATATGCTGTTATGTATATAATTACGTATAAAATAAAAGCATTGTATAGTTATTTCCATCTTTTAAAAAGAAATGTATTGCAGTGGTTTTAGATGAGAGTGAGATGCTGAGTTTTATGATATGGGGACTTAAGCATCAAACTTGTTGATTGTAAGTAACAGAAAAGAAAAGAAAATGATGTGCCAGTAATTGTAACTTTGTTCTAAAGCTGAAACTGTAGCAATTGTCATACTGTTGTTTTAGTGGAGGAAGCAAGACCTACTCCAGTTACTTCCTCCAAGGTACCATGAACAGAATATAATCTTAATATCTAATCTCTACTGTCTGCAGTTTTGGAAGCCAGTTTTGTGGTGTGTCCTCTGTGTGTGTGTCTTTTTTCCTCTCAGAGGAACCAAGGGGCAGTTTAGCAGAAGACTGACTTAATATTATCTTACACCCCCCCCTCGAACTTAGTGTGCTTTAGTACCAAGATGTAACTTGTAAGGCATAGATGCAGCAGTTTCTAGCAGCATTTCTGTGACTAACTTCCCAGTTTTTGGAGGGCTGAAGCGTAACTATTCAGATTGCAACTGAATGGAGCATTTCTTAATTTGTGACAATTTGTTTTCTCTGCTGTTGAATGTTGACTGTTCCTGGAAAGAAATGAAATGTTGGAATGTTGCTGGTGATGAATACACCGTATTGTGCTCTTAGCGTTTCTGTACCTTGCACTAGGGTGTCGAGCCTGGGCTTTGAGGAAATGCAGCTTGTCGAAGCACTACCTTGCAGGGGCGGGGAGGGAGAAGGGGACTAGATCTTGACATGGCTTTTTTTTTTTTTTGTGGAAAGAGCCCTGCCTGGCGTTAAGGAGGGAGGAAATAATGTTTCAGAGATCTTTTTTAAAAAGTTTTTTTTTTAAAAAAAAAGTTTTTTTAATCTTTTTAAAAAAGGTTTTAATAACGCAGAAGAAGCTAACGCCTCTTCTTTCCCTCGTGTGGGACGTACTGTTCCCGCGGCGCGCCCAGGCTGGGCGGCTTTTCCCTCAGGCCGGGCGGGCGCGGCCTGGCCGCTCGCCCCGCCCCGCCCGCGGCAGCCGATTGGCGGCGGCGGCGGCGTCTCTCGCCGATTGGCGGCGGCGGCGGCGTCTCTCCCCGCCTGACGCCCGTCCGGGGCGGTGCGGCCCTGCCCGGCGCCGCCGCCCCCCGCCGCCGCCGCCATGCACCGCTCACTCCGCGCCTGCCGCCGCCTGGGCTGCTCCGCCGCCCGCCTCGCGCCGCCCCCGCGCGCCGCCGCCGCCCGCTGGGGCCCGCCGCTGCGCGCCGCCATGGTGAGCGCCGCGGGGCGGGCGGGAAAAGTCTGTGTGTGTGTGTGTGTGTGTGTGAGGGGAGCGGTGACCTCTAACTGCCACTGCCGCCGCGGCTCCTCCCCCCCGCGGCGGGGAAGGGGGCAACGGGGGGCTTCGGCCCGGTGTGTCGCCCCGGCGAGGAGGGCGCGGGTCAGCGGCACCGGGAAGGCGTTACCGCCGTCCCCGGTGGGGCTCGTGCGGCCTGCGGCGGAGCTGCCGAGCCGGGTGTGTGCAGCCCCGAGGCGGCGGCTGCTCTCGGGGACGGGATTTCCGCGGCGGGCGGGCGGGCGGGCGGGGGGGGGGGGGGGTGATTCTGCAGGACCCGCTGTGGCACGCAGCGGCCTCCGCCGCAGAAACGCCGGGCCCTTTCTTAGAGCTGTTGAGCAAATAAGAAAAAGCCGGGTCCTCGCAGGAAAATCTCCGGGGCTGCCTGAAAAGCGGGGAGCTTTCAGGTAAGAGCTGCCTGTCACCTCTACCAGGCACCCTCATTATTGTTTCCAGTACAGTCAGTTGACTGTCAGGCTGAAACGTGAGCGGGGCTTGTTTATCGCGCGTGGCTCAATGTAGGAATGAAAATGCTATTTGGGTGAGGAACTTTGAATCTCAGCTAGGACGTTGCGTGGAAACCTTAGTCTCAGGTGCATCTCTGTGAAGTTCACCCTTTAAAACAAGCAGATAACTTCAGCGTGGTGGAAGGATTCCAGCAGGAAGTGGGATGTTTAGGGTTTGATTAGTGAATTAATTTTATTATTTGCTTTACTAAAATAGTTCATAAATTTAACTAGAATATTAGTTCCCAGTCTGTGATGTTTCTTACCGTATAGAAAACAGCATTAAAAACAAGCTTCCAAATGTGTGAATAAACAGCAGGGTGAATGAAACCTACCTCTATAAGAAAACCTGTGTCAGAGCAGACTGTCACTCACAAGCAACTGGCCTGTCAGATGGTTCCCTTTTTTATTTTTTTGTTTGGCATCATCTGAGAAAACCATCACAGCTCATGTTCTTCGTTTACTTGCTGAAGATCCAGTATTTATGAAAGGCAGCAGCCTTACATGAAATGTCTGTGTGTTGGTCTTTGCTGGTCAGAAATATGACCTGTCCTGTAAAGCACTTGTCATTAATTGCTTGGGTTTAAATAACAGCAGAAGTTTGTAGCAAGATGCCCCTCAGTGACTTTGGAACTCAAGCAGCCCTTGAATTCTTATAGGAAAACTTTGTGTGCTTTTAATTGCAAGAGGACCACCAAAAATGTACCAATGAGTATTTATATTAAAAAAACCCCAAACAAACAAACAAAAAAAAACCCCAAACCCGCTACTTTTTGTTGTTTGCAGAGATTTTTCAGCAGCAGGAGTTGTGTTACGGAACGCCTTGTGTAGGCACAACCAAATGTGCATGGTGTTCAACAGTCTGACTGTCGTGTTGCCTTAACTTTGAGCTAAATTGCCCAAGATATTTTAAATGGAATTGCGGTCGTAATGGTCCTTCTTCAGCTGAACGTTGTAAAATATTTGGTTTTGATTTCTAAAGAGCAAACTTCAGAATTTGTGACTCGGTATTATAAGGGAGAAATGACACTTAAAAATGGAAACATTCTTCATCTGCTGAAGGAGAGCAGTTGAGCACAAATTCCATTTACTGCTGGCCTTTAAAGATTGGTTTTGATGTGCTAAAAATTACGAGTTTTTGAATTGAAATACTTACATCCAAAAGCCGCTGCATCCTTAACTCAGAATGTAATTTTCCACAGAAAACAGTATTGCAGCAGTTCTGCCATTTGTGTATCTCCAGCGCCTTGTGGTGCAATCAGTTCTAGCTGATTCGTTCCCTGCAGCAAGGCAAAAGTACAGTTATGTTTGCCTAACTCTGTAAACTTTGGACTGTGCCTTCCGGGGATTTTGGGAGGCAAAGCAGGCCTTGTCAAGCCTCTGAAAAAAATTATGTATATATATGTTTTATAAAGGTGAGGAATAGTAGTTCTGAGCTGAGACTTGCTGTAGCTGTGATAGGAAGTAAGGGAGCATAGGAGTTTGCCTTGGTTATTACATCTCCATTTGCCTCTCCCGTGGCCCACTGCTTGGGGGAGTAGAGGGGGCTGACACAAGCGTGCTGTTGTACCATTTCACAGCAGGTTCCCTGGGTTAGCAAGTGACCGCAGAAATTTCTGCTTTAGATGCGGCAACTGGGAGCTTCAGCTCATAAAGCCACTCAAGAGGGTGAATTCTCTCTAAGGAGTGGGGGAAGCGTGTTTTTTTTATATAAAAGTTCAGGCAGTGCCTTCTGCAGGCTGCAACATTAGTCTGAAGGTAATGCTGAAGTTTAGTTCCTTTAGTATGCATGACAAATATCACTTTGCTTTTTTACCTGATGTCACTTGTTACTCTCTGTTAATCAGCAAATGACATTCAGCTTGAAGCACCTTACCCTGTTAACTTCTCTGGAGTTTGTGAATGTGTGTAACAGGGAATTGGCTAGGGAAGTAATTTTCTTTTTAATAATAGGATTTTGTTGTTAAAAGGTACTTGTATGAGGAGGTGCTGATCCTATTTATCTTGTTTCACCATTGTTGACACTGTTACGTAAGTTTGAGGAATCAATTGTGCAACTGCTAGCTTTTTCTTCTAAAAGGTTACAGGTAGTTAAACTTTTTCTATATTGTTTGTGTGTGGGTACTTTTACTGATACAACCACAAGTGCTGGGCTTGGAACCGAATTGGTTCTGCTTATCCAGCTCTAGGAAAAGCTTGACAATGTCTGCTTACCCAAGGTGTCTGAATATTATAAGCGGGGATTTCAGAGGCCATGTATCAGTGATCTCTGCTGTAGGAGTATTCGTATGTGCACATGTACAGTAAGACCCGCAAGCATCCCCATTAAACCTTTTTGGCGGTAAGATACTTAGTCAACATGTAAATGAATGCTAAGCGATTAAACTAAGATAAAGAAGATTAAAGAACATAGGGATGGCATACTGGTCCACAGTAAACTTTGTATTCCTCTGGGGTCAGTGTCTGGGAGAGCATCAGCCAAAACACAAGGTGTGGGCAGCGGGACAGCAATGCCAGAGCTAACCCTCGCTGCCTGTGGGCTGGGCTGCAGTTTTGTTCGGGTGACGTGCACTACCTACTCTGCGAGAGCGCCCTAAGAGAGTGGGGCTGGTGTCTCGGGTACGTGACTGCTGGAGTACCCGACGGCAGAGCATCTCCATCTGGCTGGGAATGCTGCTTAGGGCAGTAAAAAGGCTGGAACACCCCCCACTTGCACCCCCCACCCGCAGCTTGCCGTCCCTGGTGATGCGGACCTGGGCAGGCTGCTGCGGAAAGTCAGTGCTGCTGTTCTGCCCAACACCCAGCTGTGCTCCTGCCGGAGAAGACTGAGACCCACCAAGCAAGGGACAAGTAAAACGGGCAAAGGAAAGAGAGGAGCAGTCTGACTTCAGAAGTGGACGCCTAGGGAAGAGTAAGAACTGTGCAAATGTATGTGATGCTTTCCTCTTATTCTGACCCGGGCTCTTCACGCTCACATCAGAGGATTTCCTGAGTCTGGTTTGTCTGTGTAACAACCCAGTTCAGATCTTTCTTCTGAGTGCTTACCTCATTTTCCCTAAACTCATGTGGGCTTCTTGCATCCGCAGCATCAGCTGGCAAGGAGTTCTGTCA